TGCGCGACTACGAGTACCCCCCCCCCCCCCTTTTGTTTGTATTGAACTGATACCCTTGCCTGCAGGCATTGGCTCTGCAAATGGGATGGACAGAGTTGGTGTGCTCGCCCCTTGTACTAGACCTGCTGTGGGCGAAGCTTACGGCCGGGGTGGAGCTCGACGTGCACTCGTGCGGAGCCAATCCCGCCCAGGTGCCGGTAGAAAAGAGGGCAAGAGAGGGAAGGAGGGGGATGCTCGCGCGTACTAGAAACAATCTTAGCTCGGTCATTGACCAAGATGTTTCGCTTTGCGAGTCCAGAGCATGATGGTGACGACGATAGTGATGGTAATGTCGGTGGTGGTGATGATGTTGATGATGAGGACGATGATGTGGTTGACAGTAAAGAGAGAGAGAACGCAAGAGAGGAGCGGCAGAGCGATGGATGACTCTGGTCTTGTCTTGTGTCTTGTCTTGTCTTCTTGGGGCAAGCGTCGCTCTCACCTAGCGGAGTAAAGCTACTGGGCGCTCTGCTGTACCGACGGTTGTGGCTGCCGTCTTTGCTTAGCACTCTTGGCTACAGCAGCATCTAGTACAATCGCGCAACACCCTCAGCCGACGGTGGTGCCGCGCTTTCCCCCCAAACCAAGACGTGTGTTGCTTTCTCATTACATCCTTAAGACTTACTTGCCTCCATCTCCGAAACTCATCCATCCCCACCTTAATCTCTGCACCGTCATGCTTGTTATACCCCTTTCGGTGCCTTCAGTGGTTCGCAAGGCTACGGGGGCCGTCAGCAGGGTCGGCACCGGCGCCGGCGGTGACAGCGGCAACACCCGTCCACAACACTGCGGCGGCGGCGGCGGCGGCGGCGGCGGCGGCAGCAGCAGCGGCGGCGGCGGATGCGACCGCGACGAGAGTGGAAAGGATGGACCCGGCACGATCATCGCCTGGGAACTCGAAGCACGCCGCTGCCAGCTGGGATATTACCATCGCGCCTTCGCTGCAGGTATTGATAGTCTGCGGCAGACCGACTCCCGCAACTCGTTTTATTTTGTGGAATCGAGACTGTTTCTTGTTGGGTATCGAGGGTACAGCCGTTTTCGGGTAGTATGACCTGTTCTCCTATGAGCACAAGCTTCCGGGGGACCGGGTTGTGAAGGCATGGGCTACGACGCGATTTGGGTTCGCACAGTTCGTCCCGGTCTCGAGGAGATCGTTTTTGTCGCTAGGCTCTCCGAAGACCGCTGACGACCCCCCCCCCCTGCCCCCCCCTAGCCTGTGACAACTAGTGGTGTTATTGGCTTGAGCTAGGTGTGTGTTGAGCGGAGAGAGCGAAGACAACGTCGTTGTGTTTGCTGGAGAATCGGGATGTCACCTTCGGGAAGGTGGTGCGCTCGCGCTGTGTAGCTCTCTTGTTTGTGATTTTTATCATTTCGATGCGACCCCAAGCACGTAACCGGTGGCAGCTTCCCTCGCTTCGCCCCGTCATCGTTTCGTGCCCACGTCACACCGACCGACTCAGGCCGTCCTTGTGGGAGTTGCATCAAGACCAGACGTGTTTTATCGGGTGCCGGCCGCCAGACTCGCCCTGGACGCTGTCGTTTACCTGTGAGGCGCCGTTTTGTTTATGCTAGTTGCTGCTGCTGCTGCTGCTGCTGCTGCTGCTGCTGCTGCTGCTGCTGTAGATGTTGTGGTCCTAGCTGAGGCGCTATGGGCTCGGCGCAGGTACCTCAAAACCAAATGCGCTCGCCCGCCCAGAACCTTGAGAACTTTCTCACCCACCGCTCGGCTTCGTATACGTCACAGATACGAAGCGCCTCTTGTGAACCAAATAGGTATATTTGGCATACGAATGCTGTTCAGGGTCGAGAAGAGCTGCCGCGTGCGTGATGGGCCTAAGTCGATATCGACCGTTGGCAGCAAACGAGTGATGTATGTTACTGTCATCCCCGATCCCTTCGTGTTCTCTCTTCGCCAATCCGTGCTCATGCGCAGCTCTTCCATGAATTGTATTGAATCGTGTTTTTGTCAGGTTGATGCTGGCGATCTACACGGTCGCTCTGTACAGAGTTGAGCCTGGGAGCATCGGCCCTTGGGAGGTGCTCTTGTACATCTGGGTGCTGGTGAGTCAAGTGAAACTACCTGGCCTTTTTCACGTGCACCTCTTTGTTGGCTGTGTGACAGTGTGGGCAGCAATGGTGGCGTGACTGTGTTGGCGACAGAGTTCATGTTGGTGGCGAGACTGTGATCGCTGTGGCGGTGGGGGCGAGAGGGTACGGCTGCAGCTCTCAATCCAACCATCCCGTTAGATGTGCCGGTCGGTCGCCTAACACTCGTGTTACTGCGGTGCTTGCACAATCACCACTCAGACGATGCTCGTTTTCCTCCCTGTCGGCATTCCTCCTCCGTCTCGTACTCGCCCAACCACCCCGCAGAGCATGTGTTTCAGCGAGGTGACTACGGGTGCTGGGGGGGTTGTTGGCGATGCGGACACGGAGCGGAGGGAGGGGGGCACCCCGGCAGAGCCCCTGCGACAACGACGTCGAGTGAAACGTTCACGAAGACGGGGTTCTTCGTGCTGTTGTTGTTCTCCTTTTCTCGGGGGGAAGTTTTCGACCGCGGTGCTGGTGGCGACCATGATGTGCAGGCTGGGAGACTACGTGCAGGCGGGCATTTATCTGCAGCTGTCTTGGCAGCTTGGCTCGCTTCCCCCGTTCGCTTCCCTATTTTGCTTTTGCTTCGTTTGTTCCTCGTTTTTATGCTCGTAGCTTTGCACGTCTCGGCTACCCTTACCGCTCGGCCTTGACCACATCATATTCACAGCAGTTTCTCTCTCTGTTGCTCTGCCCCCCTTTCATTTCGTACCAGAGGAGAACATTTGACTAACTCTCTCATACGGCTACTGTCGCGTACCCCCTCCACCCAACATGGACACAGCAGAAGGACGGGCCTGCCGTTTCTACAATCGGCTTACCCGCTCTCCCCCCTCCTGCTCCGTCCTCTCGCGGACGCGTGTTCAACGGTCTAATAGCTAAGGCATGCGAAGCGTGAGTACCCTCCCCCCCCCCCCCCCNCCCCCCTCCCCTCCACTCCACTTCGTCCGACGACGGTCACCTCTAATCCCATCATCATCGTCCTTGTTACCTTGTTACGTCTCCAGGACTACCGTGGCGATGCGGTAGACGGCGAGTGGATGTGCTTCCAGGGTTTCGTGGCCCTCTTCGCTTCGGCGGCGCCGTTGCTTCTCTTCCGGTTGCTCAGAGGAGTTGCTGCGTTTCTTCCGGTGCTAGGCCCCGCTGTCAAGGTGAGAGAGAGAACGGGGAGGGGGGCTGCAGAAAGGGGGGGAGGGAGGCGACGGGCGGGCTCGCCAGGGGGTCGACCGGAGGCCACGTTACGTTGCAGCAGCTTTAGCGCTCGTGTGTGTGTGTGTGTTCTTTTTGTCTCTTTTTTTTCTTTTGCGGTGCCCATGGTTGCATCCGACGGCTCTCGTCATGCTGGCGTGTTTTTTGTTTTTTCGTGTTGGGAATATGACGATACACCACCCGTGGATTTCGACGGTACGTACGTGTGCATACATGCACCAAGCAAGCAAGCAACCCCCCCCCCCTGATGTGATGTCTTGGTGTTGGCCTTTACCTCCTCCGCGTGCCCATCTCCCCGCTGCGACCGGCTTCTTTGACACATTTGTCTTTTGTCTACCCTCCTTGGGGATACCTTTGTCGTTTCTTTCAACCACCTGTCCGCATCTATCTATTAGAGAATACACATACAATAAGAGAGATACACATTCTAGATATAACCACATGCATTTCGCCTGCTGCTGTACTCTAGGCGATATCCTTGCTGGCGCGAGAGGCGTCCAAGGTTCTCCCCAGCCTGGCGTGCCTTCTCCTCGGAACGGCACTAGCCTTGCACGTCATGTACGGCGACGGTTCCCCCCTGCTGGAGGGGACGGAGCTATCCGGGGGCTTCGTGGATGGGTTCCGGACGTTCGGGGTGTCGTGCAGGACCGTCGCGAGGGCCGGGTTTGGAGACATCCAAGTGCCGGACGAGGACGTTCCGTGAGTAGTCTCTTCTTTCTCGTCTCTTCCTGTCGTCGTTTTCTGAAGGCAAACTTCGTTGGGTCCTTTTTCCTTTTTGTGCACTGCTGTGGTTGGCCTGTGACCACGGAAGGCGTCCGCGTTACTTGGGCCGGTGCGGATGTTGGCGGGGACTGAGGAGCAGACACTGGGACGAGTTTTTCATGCGAAGACAAACGACGAAAACAAGACTTTGCTTTCTTGCGGTCCCCACCCCGACGACATCCCGCCGGCTGCTACAAAACAATCGCTCGCCACCACAGCCCGCTCTCTGGCTGGCTCTTGCTTTGAGGTGTCCTTAAAGGCGTGCCTTTTATTTCTTGGGACATAGTAGTCAACTTCACGTTATTTTAGTACTGATTCTTAGCTCCATGCGGCTGGCTGCTGCGCTCCTGAGCGAACCTCATTGATTGATTGAGCATTTTACATTACTTCTTTTTTTTTGTGACCAGGTACGGCGAGCCCCTTTACGTGCTCCTCTACGTGTTTGCTGCGGCCGGGGCGCTGGCGTTGGTGAGCATTTATGTCGGGGTTTTATCGAACGTAAAGGAGGCCAGTCCCGTCGAGATGGAGAAGAACTTTCAGCTCGCAAGAGCAAGGTGAGGCTCGAAGAAGTGCGTGTGCCTCTTCCTGTACAGCCCCCAGAACCTTCGTTGAACGGATGCCGTCCACTCGTTTTTGATAGCGCAAGGAATGATCAGCTCCCCAGCAAATGCCAAGAGTGCTCTGCGCGAGCGACCAAAGCATGGGCGGACAAACGGTTGAACTGAACACACTGTGTATGGCATGACGTGTTGCATGCTTGGATGCCACAACACAACGGGAAATATGTGACCTTCCGTGCAGAGACCAATCATCGAGCGGTCCCGTAAGAGAGTTGCAGACAAACTGTCGGGTCCCGCGTGAGAACCGGGTATGCTTGTAGCCACATTTTGTTTTCGTGCCCTACAACGTTTGGAGTACCATTGATACTATTATACTCCTATATATTGTTTCACAGCACACGTGCGGAGCGTGGACGGGGTTGGCTTGGCACACGTGCGGTATTTATAGGCCTCGGGGCGTCGCACCCGGAACGGCGAGTCCCCCCTCCTCTCCTCCTCCGGTGCCGGTGGATGCCGCACTCTTGTGTAGTGTAGGAAAATGCTGTACTGCGAAGCACTTCTCTCGCTTGAAACCGTACACCGGTGTTCATGCCTGTTCGGATGCCAAATACGACACTGACACTCTGTGCACGATGTCGGCACCCAACAACATATCGTTGTTGCCATGTCGTTCCGACCTTAACTGGATCTAATACACGTCGCCGCCGCGGTCAGGTTGATAGTGCGAGCGGCGGAGGCTTCCAGGCGCAACGTTTTGCCGCCGCCCTTTAACTTGGCGCAGGGAGGCTTGGCGCTGGTGGTATCGGCAACCCAATGCCACCGACATGTGTCAGAGAGACGACAGGTACAGCAGTATGCACGTCATACGCCGCGGCCGGTGTGTATTGTTGTGCTGTTGAAGCCGGTCGTGGCGGCAGTGCACTCATATCCGTGCATGCCGTAGTCGTTGAATCATTGACCTCGCATTCCTACAAAGCCGGGACGGAGCACGCCGGGTTCTCACCGGACAGACTGTCACATCAATCATCCAAGCGCGAAGCGCCGGGAGGTATTCGGCGAGTCGCATGAAGGGTGCGCTGCATCCTGCTAAGGGTGTTCGGCATCTTGTGCTTACTTCCTTGCGTACGGATGACAGTTGCGTATGACTTAATTTTATTTTCTGGTGCTTTCACTTCCGGAGACAGTTGTAAGCACTGTGTAACTCCCTCGAGGGTGCTTGACCAATTCAACACAACGTGGTGCGATCATCCCCCTTGCGCGGAGTGCGAGGGGGGGGGGGTACTCATAGTCGTGCATGCCGTAGTCGTTAGACCATTGACCTCGCATCCCTACAAAGCCGGGACGGAGCACGCCGGGTTCTCACCGGACCAGGCTCTCACATCACCAAACATCACCAGCCGTGAGATATTCGGCGAGTCGCATGAAGGGTGCGCTGCATCCTGCTAAGGGTGTTCGGCATCTTGTGCTTACTTCCTTGCGTACGGATGACAGCTGCGTATGAATTAATTTATTTTCTGGTGCTTTCACTTCCAGAGACAGTTGTAAGCACTGTGTAACTGCCTCGAGGGTGCTTGACCATTTTAACACAACGTGGTGCGATCATCCCCCTTGCGCGGAGTGAGGCCTCTCCACCCCGCACTACATGATCTACTCGACCACCGAGGGGGGGAGGGGTCATTGTTTCTACCATGAGTTTGGGGGCAATCTAGCGTCCGCCAGGCGTTGTTGCTTTGCAGGTGGTGATGCTGGCAAGTGTTGCTGACGCGGCCGCGAGTGAGTCGAGAAAGCTTCTAAGGGTACTTGTCGTCGAGAACATGCGGTTGGTTTCACGGGCGCGCTCTCTCTCTCTCTCTCTCAATGCGCGCGTGCGCTGCTTGCATTCCCCCCCCCCCTCGTGCTTCAGGCCGTGTCAGGCGCGTGTTCGGTGCATGGACGGTTCGTGTTCTGGCTAGTCCTGGGACCCTTGGCCGTAGCTTCGGCGATGCTGCTGAACTTGGCCGCGCTCTTCTATTTTTGGTGGTTCAGGTGAGAAGCAGCAATAGTCGGATATCCAGGAGAAGTTCTGGCCGTTTACCCTTGGTTCTTTCCCCTCCATCTCCCTTAGCACGCAAACACCCCCCCTCCAGGCGGTAACCATATTTTGGCGGTAACCATAATGGTGGTCGAGTAGATCATGTTGTGCGGGGTGGAGAACCCTCACTCCGCGCAAGGGGGATGATCGCACCACGTTGTGTTAAAATGGTCAAGCACCCTCGAGGCAGTTACACAGTGCTTACAACTGTCTCTGGAAGTGAAAGCACCAGAAAATAAATTAAGTCATACGCAGCTGTCATCCGTACGCAAGGAAGTAAGCACAAGATGCCGAACACCCTTAGCAGGATGCAGCGCACCCTTCATGCGACTCGCCGAATATCTCACCTTCGCGCTTAGTGATCTGCTACAAGCCTGGTCCCGGCAAGATTCCGGCGTGCTCCGTCCCGGCTTTGTAGGGATGCGAGGTCAATGGTCTAACGACTACGGCATGCACGACTATGAGTACCCCCCCCCCCCCAGGAAGAGAGTATAAGAGAAAGCTCGTTTGGAGTTGTGGTAACTTTTTACCGTACGAGTCGGAGAGTTGGCACCGGGTGCGATCGCGTTTTCAAATGTTTTTTCCTCGTTTTTCATCGCACCCGGTGCCATCTCTCCGACCGGTGCCATCTCTCCGGCCCGTGCCGACTCTCCGACTCTTACGGTATTTTCGGATATGTACGGCCGGTAGAATGGTAGACTAGACGAGGTGGCCAGCATCGCTGATTGGCTTCTGGTTTGCGAGGCACAAGAGGCGAAGCAAAAAAAAATGGCCATACGTCATCTACGTGTGTATTTGGCACAAGGCTAAGGCTAAGCGTCCCCTTCGAAACACGAATGGCACGTCAAATTTCCGTGCCCAGTGTTCCATTGGTGCCAGGCAGGGCGAGAGCCACGAATCACACGTCAATCGCTGCCAAGTGTTCCTTCCATTGGTGCTACGCATAGGCAGGGCGAACGAGTATTCTCGCTCACCCACAGCATCACGTTTGGCCTGAGGTACTCCCGCTGCTGTCGGATGCTTGCACGCGCCACACGAATACTGCTGTCTTGTATCGCGAGCAGGGCTCATCGGTGTGACAATGTGAAGGTGGTGTTGTTTCCTTGGCTTGGTGATCGTGCTTCTCTCTCCCACTCACCTTCACTCCCCCCACCGATGGTTTCTCTGTCCCCTGCCTCTCCTTCAATCGCTCTCTCTCTCACTCTCTACCTGTCCCGCTTTCTCTCGTTGCTCCCGTGCTTCCGACCACCACCGCACACAGCGTGAAGCGCCTGTTCGAAGATCCCCGGCGGGCCCCGAGGATGCTGTACGTCCTCTTACGCACCACGCTTCGTTGCGGAGTGTGTGCCCCCCTCAGGCTGCTGGGGTGGTGGGTTGCGGCTGTGTCGTGCGTGCTCAAAGGAGACAAGGCGGGACAGAGAGCGCGGACGGTTGCGAGAAAGGCTGGTGAGTCAGATTGCGCTCTTTTTTTTTTCCTCCTCACGAGATGGTAATGGTGTTGACAACTCACTTCGTGCATGACACAAAGTTGCTGAGTCGGCAATTGATTCATTGCGTGCATGACCTACCGAAAAAGTTGTAATGCTGCTCGCCTTTGTTGCAGTCATACATGCCTCCAGTAGCTTCCTTGGTGAGCAATCATTTCACGTGCTAGTACATGGATGGGGAAGGATGTCTACCTCTATGTACGGCCGAGGAACCAACATGAGCAACTCTGTGGGTTCCTCGTGACGCACACACATCATACACCACTTCCTTCTACCACGGATCGAGTCGCTCCCGTTGCAAGCATTCGGCAGTCACATTCCATTCCCCCCGTTTCCCCTGTCAGAAATATGAATTAATAACATCGAAAAAAATTACCAAATCCAGTTTCGACCTCCACTTGACTCGGCCGCCATCGCTCCCTTTCATGAATCGGCCCGGGTGACTCACACGGCAGTCCTGAAGGGGAGAGAGGGCGGGGACTACCACCTGTCGCATCTCTTGAGGCGAACTAGGTGGGGGGCGGGAGGAGGAAGCAGCAGCCTCGCGCAGGGCTTTTCGGTGCGCGACATCGTGGCGGCGATGGACGATCCGCTGCAGAGAGGTGGTCCCTTTAGAAACGTGAGAGAGAGAGAGGGAGAGAGAGAGAGAGAAAGAGAGAGTGAGAGAGAGAGAGTGGCTTGTGTCCCTGTGTTTCGGCGTTTGGTCCCTCCTGTGCTCCCTTGCGTTGTTCCAGAACCACCCTCTGTCCCGAGAAGAGGTTTGGCTGTGTTGTTTGCTATGCTACAGTCAGTACAGTCAGTCTAAGATGTTCTTGTTGCGTTGTTAGGCTGTTTTCTCTCTCAGTTCGAGAGGTCCGATCCGGGGGGGCTACGCAGAACCGAAGTCTCCGTTTGGGTTGGCGATTACGTACGTGGTGTTGCAATCAACAGCTGCAGAAATGGGTGTGTCAAGCATCAGTCAGAGCTTAAGTAATGGCGCACGAAATAGTCGCGGCGAAAGGAGAGCACTTTTTGCAGTTCGATTACGCCTTAGGTATATATCCAGATTACGGTGAGCTGCCTGTCACGTTGAACTTTCGTTTCGTCTACGCCACGCTTGCCCTCCGGTGAATCCCTGTGCCCGACAAGTTTTTCATGTCTGCGCCCATGACTGCCTGCGGTTCTTGACGTGCAATTGTCTGATGACAACCGCCGCAACCGATATTTTGCGGCAACCCTCTTCCACGAAAGACCTATCGCTCACCTTGCGAGTACCCCTTTCGCCCTGCCCGAGTTCACAAGATAGAAATCCCGTGACCCGCTGTCTTTTAGCATTTTGTCGGGCGTGAAAGCTTTTTCTTCTCCGGAACGACATCCGTACATGGCCATGTTTTCATGGCAATTGTCTACGGTGTCGTTGTCGTTGACTTCTATGGGGAGAAGACGTTCGGTGTCATGCGAAACGAGCGATCACACGAGCGACAGATGGCGCGGTTTCACCCGCGATGCAGTGCCCTTACTCCTGTAGAATCCCGAAAGAGAGTCTTTCTAATGTACAAGAATAACTTGGGACTGAGATTCCGAGATGCCTCGAACCAGGCGCGACTACCCGACATGTTGTTCGTTCCTCTCCCGGTGTCACCTCTCGTTTTCCCGGAGTGTATTGCCCCGCCACCCCGCCACCCCCCCCGCATTGAGGGAGAAGATCCCCTTCACACTGCGGTACCAGCGGCGACCTTGTTGCCTGAATCGCGAACCATTTGCACATCTCCACGCACTTTCCAGGTAACGTCGTGCTTCGCGGACGAAGGGCCGAGCACGGTGGCGCAGATGAAGGCGTTAGCCAAGGTAAGCAGAAGAGTCCCTGCTTGGTTCACGGCTAGTCGGAAGCGTTTCTTGAGACCACGCTTCGAGGCACACGCTCTTTTTGGCCGTGATTGTATTCCTTGGAACAGCAGCATAAGCAACAACAAGCCTACAGGAAGGAACGATTGGCCATCGGCGATCGGGTTCTGTGGGAAGAACAACTCCCCGTCGTCTCGAGTAGGGTGATGTAACAGCTATGGCATGAACACTATGGATTCATTGCTAGTGCATCCTAGACCCTTGTGTATGGATAGGGATGGATTCATCGTGTTATTCTAACAAAACATAAGCACGCCCCCCCCCCCCCCCCCCCCCCCCCCCCCCCCCCCCCCCCCCCCCCCCCCCCCCCCCCCCCC